TTCCCTCTTCTTTCCTCTCTGTCTGAAAATCGATTTTAAAAATAATTTTTTTAAAAAAAGGAGGGGTGAGCTTCTGGTTTCTGCGGAGCCACAGGGACTCTGTAAGTGCCATCCATTCTGGCAAATAACCAAAACAGAGTCACTTGCCATCATTGTGTTGGCCCACTTCTTCTCTGTCTCTCAAATTGAGGGGCAGGAGGCCAAGCCGGATTTCTGAGACTTTTAGGTCAGGGAGAGCCGTGAAGTCCTGTAACCACAGCAGCCATAAGACTAACGAATCCTGCCGAAACCGGTTTGGCTCAGTGGATAGAGCGTCGGCCTGCAGACTGAGGGGTCCAGGGTTCGATTCCGGTCAGGGGCATGTGCCTGGGTTGCGGGCACATCCCCAGTGGGGGATGTGCAGGAGGCGGCTGATCGATGTCTCTCTCTCATCGATGTTTCTGACTCTCTATCTCTCTCCCTTTCTCTCTGTAAAAAATCAATAAAATATATTTAAAAAAAAAGCCTAACGAATCCTTAACATTACATAGTATTTGCAAAAATGAAAGAATAGGAGAGAAAAAAGCAAAGCAAAAAGCCTTTAACTTATAGTTTTGAAAAGTCAAAAAGCCACACTTAAAAGGAGTCACTATAAAGTGCAGAATTAGAAAGCAGGGGATGAGCTGGGATCCAATCCTAGCGCTGAGGATCATAGGCTAGTAACTGGATCTCTCTACACCTCAATTTCCTCCTCGGTAAGACAGCAAGAATAATCATCCCACCTCATCAGATTCTTCTGTGGACTAAACACATCACGTCAGTAAAGATCTCAGTAGCATGCCTAGTCATAGAATATGAATTTTAATTCCACATTTTGTAGCTTTTTAGAATATTGCCGAGTAAGGTTTTAAAGTCATATTTCATTTTTGCAAACATAGACAGAATAACAAAAATCATTCCTGGGACTTGGTGCGGGAAAGAGGCAATAAACTCCTTACCTTTGGACTTGGAAGTTATAGTGAGACTCCACACCTAGTCATTCCAGAACTAACTGCTCCGACCTCACTTCTACTGTCCTCACAACAAAGTGCTTCTAGTCTCTTATCGACCTTCCAAGGCAGCGGTTCTCAACCTGTGGGTCTCGAACGACCCTTTCACAGGGGTCACCTAAGACTATCCTGCATATCAGATATTTACATTATGATTCATAACAGTAGCAACATTACAGTTATGAAGTAGCAACGAAAATAATTTTATGGTTGGGTCACAACATGAGGAACTGTATTTAAAGGGCCAGAAGGTTGAGAACCACTATTCTAAGGGTATTTGTGAGGACCATCTGTGATCCTTTAAAGCTGATATAGTTTATTAGTAAAAGGCCTGGAAAGCATTTTAAATTCGTGGTTGATGTCTATTCTCTCACTGACAATTCCCTCTGTTCTTCCTACTTATTTGGTAGAGGTAAGGATATTTGTGCAGCCTCTCTTCCTACTGTTTGTTCTTCTTTGCTTCTCCTCTATTGATACTCATTTCACCATAGAGCCACATGAAGACCTAGGCAGGCAGGACTCAAGGCACTAAATGTTTGTGGGTCAAACCCAGTCCTCTCAGCCTTTAAACAGGATCATGTAGTATGTCTTTACCTGCCGAGTGCACCAGACAGAAATGCCACTGGCATCTACAAATCACCAGTCAATGCTACCTGTCCTCTCTGGAGGACAGAGCTTGTGTGGCCACTCACAGCCACAAAGGAGCTTCTGGTTGCCAGGTAATGACACTTAAAGCTAGAAATATATGGGAAAGGATTGAGCCAGAGGCCAAGAGCACAACCACCCACTTCACTTCCCCAGGGCATCCTGAGTTCCTTTTGCTAAAGATGAGAAGAAGCGTCAACAAAATACAGTCATGGGCTGAGCAGAACTCTTAGAAGTAACTACAGGAGCACAAATGGCTACATCAGGACTTGCCGAATTACTTATAGAGCATTACCAATTTTGAAGTAAATTATTCTTACGTAGCATAAAAGCAGATAGTAATAGAGATGGCATAACCAAATATTTTCACTGGTTTTAAAATATTCTCTATAAACTTTGGGCCTCCCTGATTCTCTCCATGCTCTTCTGCCTCCTCTCCTCACCATCCTACATTCCTCAGGGTCATCAGAATACCACCAGTTGGGGCACAGTGCAGCACCTCTAGAACCATCTGTTATTCTCCTGGCAGGTACTTCTGTGTCTGATACTCATAACAAAGTGATATTCAGAGGAACAGAAACTGTCACAATAGAAATATGGAGGTTCTTGCCAGACGCACTGACACATATGGGATGGGGAAATGTGTACTGACCAGCAGGACCAGAAAGTTCACAGCGAGGGGCAGGGCCGCTCCAGAGCCCGTGCTCTTGACTGTCACTGGTGCAGCGGATGGTGTGCTCCCCAATGAGACTGAAAGTCATCCCTCTGTCTGGGTGGGAGTCGCATGAATAAGATATTTCTGTTCCATAGGGAATGACTCTCAGAGAAGTTCCTGTGTGTTTTCCATTAAGGATAGCTGGGGGATTGGTACAAAAGATTTCTAGAAAGAAGACAAGAGTGTTAGGTTCCAGTAGAGTTTCAATCAAATGATTATACAATATTGGTATCCTGGGACTGTGTTATAAATACATTCCGTTTTGAAAAATTTTTTAATTGATTTCAGAGAAAAAGGGAGAGGGGGAGAGAGAGATAGAAACATCAATGATGAGAGAGAATCATTGATTGGCTGCCTCCTGCACGCCCCCTATTGGGAATTGAGCCCACAACCCGGGCATGTGCCCTGACTGGGAATCCAACTGTGACCTCGTGGTTCATAGGTCGACGCTCAATCACTGAGCCACACCAGCCAGGTATAAACACATTTCTTTCTATGATAATATAGCTAAGGTGGATGCAATTTTTATATGTAGAACATTTTTAGAGAAGAAACTGAGGAAGGTGAAACACAGCTTGCAGTTTATTGCAAACATCCAAAAGACCCTTCGGGCAGCTAAGATTTTAATCAATTTGAAAGGTAATTAAATTGTGTGTTTTTCAGCAATCATTTGATGTCCTACTTTACGTCAGATGTAGTAGGAGTCCTGGGCTGACAATGCAATACAAGATAATCAAGGTTTTGGCTCTCAGATGTCTGAAGTTCCAGGGAAATCTCTGTGAAATTTGTGAAATGTGGACTATCATTTGCGGCCGATGTAAATGTTTCTAGATGACTGAGACCATTATCATCAGTGCCCACATCAAATACACCGTAATGCCATCAGAATGCACTGATTCCTAGTCAGACACTGAAAAGGCACCGGGTAGCCTTTTCTTTCTTCTTCTTTCACTTTTTTCTTTCTTCTAAGATATCAGCTGTCATTTCTTCCTGCTGTTAGTGTGTCTACTTTTAGCAGTTCCCTCCCTAAAACTAATTTGATGCTTCTAAACTGATATAAACTGGGGAAGAGATACCCAAGCTTATCAGAATTGTATTTATAGTAGTAACCAAGTGAAGGCTTTAGTACATCAAAGAATAATTGATTTGCTTGTGTTTATCCAAAGGTTAATTATAAATTTATTTTCAGTTTTATGTGTGTTGGGACGGTTGAGTTTGATGAGTATCTGAGTTTTATACATATAGAATGTTCTCATAAAGTTCCACCATAATTACATAAGATGAACAAATAGATTTATCACAAGGTAGTTTATCAAAATCCAAATTAAAAAATGAATATTTTTCAATCATCAAAAAATGGTATTTTAAAAAAATCTTTCTTTGCCGAAACCAGTTTAGCTCAGTGGATAGAGTGTTAGCGGACTGAAGGGTCCTGGGTTCAATTCCAGTCAAGGGCATGTACCTTGGTTGTGGGCACACCCCCAGTAGGAGATGTGCAGGAGGCAGCTGATCGATGTTTCTCTCATCGATGTTTCTAACTCTCTGTAAAAAATCAATAAAATATATTTAAAAAAATCTTTCTTTGCTTTAGCTAACAGAGTAGGCTAAATCAGTTATGTCTTGGTGTATAAAACACTTTTATCTATTTATCAGTTTCTGAATCTTCAGGAAGTTTTATTTAAGCAAGTGGTTTGAAAATTCAGGGCACCTCATCTCATTTCAAATATTGACTCACCTCCCTGTACCATACAAATTTAATCATATAACACTGGGTTTTTTTTTTTAAATTTATAACACATGAATTTTAACATATTTTATGCATTCAATTTTTATATTTATTTATTTATTTTCTTGTTCGTGGGCAGCCTTCCTAAGTAGAAAATGAACTCCATGCCCAGCCGGTGTGGCTCAGTGGTTCAGCATGGACCCATGAAGCAGGAGGTCAGGTTTTGATCCACGTCAGCGTACAAGTTGGGGTTGTGGGCTCGATCCCAAGTAGGGGATGTGCAGGAGGCAGCCAATCAGTGATTCTCTTTCATCATTGATGTTTCTCTCTCTCTCCCTCTTTCTCTCTCTTTCTCTCTCTCTCTCTCTCTTTCTCTCCCTTCCTCTCTGAAATCAATAAAAAAGTGAACTCCATGAGAACAGAGATATGTCTTCCCTATTCATTACTCTCCCCACATGGAAAGTCTTGACATGTGGCCCTTCCTCAGGACTAAATAACAGGATGGATGAATAGTTTAGATCAGTGAGGGGATAAATGGACATATATATGTAAGAGAAACCAAAAAATAAATGAATAAATACATTTTGGCAGACCTTTGTGCCATCTGGTCTCTCCCTTCAGATTCCCCACAAAATCAGCACTGGCATTAACCTAGTGACTTATACTAGCAACATAAGCACAGTGTATAAGATCTACATGACCTGTTGTGAAATTCTTCCAACAAAATGTATTTTTGTAAGGAATTTGGTGATAGATCCAGATGACAGGTGAGACCATGAGACACAGCACACTGGAACTAGAAAGGAGAGCTACCCGGGTTGCATAATTGTTCCTTCTACTCACGTTCACACACAGGGACGCTGCTGCTCCAACGGCTTTTCATTCCGACCAAGACACAATGGCTAACAGAGCTGCCTTTTAATCGGAACCTAAAGTTAAAAAGGGGGAGTAGCAGATAGGTAAGCAACTCCGATCTCTTTCTTCATCGCATCACTGATAGATACTCAGGTTGCTCCCTTCCATCTAAATACCATTTGGCTCTTAGGTTGGGGCTCAGTTGAAAGTCTGTTTATTAGGGACCTGAAGTCAGCAGTTGGCAGGAACTCAGAAGCCAAATTATGCTAAGAATCACTGTATCCTGTGATGGGCAAAGCCATCAGAGATGGTAACTCAGTGTCCTATAGACATCATAGCCCAGTGTCACCTCCAGAAGTCACTGAACACAGAGCTGGACCCCTCTTGAGCCCTGGACCCAAACCCCGTCTCACAGACAGCTCTGTGACATCCCACTTATTCCCATCACTGAATCACGGGGAAAAACAGCTCTCCATCTGGGTGAGCAAAGCAGAGAACTCGACATTGTTCTTCTTGCCACTACGTTTGTAATGGCCAGAAAGAGGCTCACAGAAACACTGAGAAAATGTTCTAGGGACAACAGGATGAGGCGAGGGGGCTTTGTCTCCCTGAAATGCCCAGATTATTGTTGAATCCCGTTGACTTTCTAAAATATGCTCACCTTGACTGGGTAGTAGACTTTGTACACAACAAAGATTCCTAGGAAACTGATAAAATTAACTGCTGTATTGCTCAATCTTGTTACCTCCACAGTGAGTGTATACTACTCGGAGGCTACTGGTAGATGCATATAGACAGCTAATAATACTAATCAAAACAATAACATTGGCCATATGGTCCCATTGTCAATGACATTACTGAAGGAAAGACATATAATTGGATTAAAAGCACTTATCCACAAACTGTTACAAATTGTACTACTGATTGATTTGGAAGTTTCCTGAAAAAAATCCTTATTTGACTTATCACATTACAAATAATTTGTCTCATACATTAAACTTTTACTAGCAAAATTTTCATAAACTTCTACTTCCTGCCTCTAAACTACTACTGATTGATTTGGAAGTTTCCTGAAAAAATCCTTATTTGACTTATTACATTACAAATAATTTGTCTCATACATTAAAGTTTTACTAGCAAAATTTTCATAAACTTCTGCTTCCTGCCTCTAAAGAGCTATTTATTCATACACTTCAAGTTACAAATGTGAGTTCAAGGTCAGTTTTATTTATATTTTTACTCAACATTGAATGTCATGTTCCTTATCTCCTGGTAGCCCTGCTACTAAGTTCTACCACTTAAATCAAAACTGCTCAGGCATGAATATCCCTGGGTGCTTCGCTTCCATAGGTCTGTTCCCCTTTTTGGGTTAACCCTTGAACCCGAGGGTTACTATCCCGCTCACACTCACCCCTCATCACAAACGAAGGACACTTTTGCTCCAAGCTCCAAGTTTAGTGGAGAGAGCACACGGCCATTAGGAAGTCGGTCCCGGAAGGCAGCACATGATTTCACTACAGAAAAAGAAAGGAGGAGTAAGACCGCCATGTGAGGTGCAAAGACATTCATCTGCAGAAAGGATGGGAGTGAGTGGAGGCACCTGCGCATGTGGGGGCGGCCGGGCTCCAGTCCCCCTGGGGCGTACAGCGCAGAGAGGCGGCCCCTCTGAGCTCATAGCCGGGCTCACAGCTGTACAGCACCTCCTGCCCAGGGGAAAAGCTGTCCTTGTCGCTGGGGCTGTGCTGGCCATGCAGGATTCCTGGAGGCCGCTGACAAACTGGGGGAAGAACAGGCACAGAGTTCCTGTCAGTTATGGGGGAATTTGCTACACCCAGGAGCTTAAAAATCCTGATTACAGAGTACAGGATTGAAAAGAATGGATAGTTTCACACCCACATTTTACTGAGGAGCAAAGTAAGGCCACAGCTCAGAGCTGTGATTAAAACCAAAGGCTCTCTAACCCCTTGTCTGTGATTTTTTTTCTACTAAAATGTTCCCAAGACAACAAGCAGAATGGGTTTGTTTTCTGCTTCCCAGGCCTGGCCATCCCACCCAGCTGAGTGCTGGAGGCTTGTTCCACACTTTACTTCATAGGAGGCAGCCTTTCTGGCAACAACAAAGGATACCTTTGCCCAAGTCTCAGCTAACAGACCCATCAGGCAGGCATCCCCCTTCATGCTTCCTTCCAGCTCCTCTTTCAGAACCGCTAGCGTCCTCTGGATCCCCATGTGCCAGTCGGATTCTTCCCACTCCATGCTAAGCCAGGCATTTTAGCAAGGAAGACAACAGAACTCATCGAAAGCAAAATCCCCTTAGACACCCACCCACAAAAACTATACACTGTTTAAAGAGAGAACGTACTAGTACAGGGATGGGCAAAAGTAGTTTTACAATTGTGAGAGAATCATCTATCAGCTGCCTCCTGCACGCCCCACTACTGGGGATAGAATGCCCTTGACTAGAATTGAACCCGGGACCCTTCAATCTGTAGACCGAAGCTCTATCCACTGACCTAAGCCAACTAGGGCTTCTTCTTGTAATATTATTAATTAATTAATGTTGTATTCATTTGTATTACAACTGTAAACCTACGTTTGCCCACCTCTGTCTTGCTTACTTGGAGCCTATTTTGACTCAAATTTTGGCAATCTCTATCCAGAGCCCAATTGGTGAATTTCAATCTGAACCATATAGAATTGAATACAAATTACATAGACAGTATATTTGAATTTGAGCAAGTCATTTCCCCTATCTGAGCCTCCGAGTTTTCAGCCAGCACATGAGGGAGTTGAAGCAGAATGATTGAGGTCTAAGGCCTTTTTAATCTGATGCTGTAATTTTGGTCCCATCTGCCTCCTGACCTCTCCCCCCGTAACGGATCTATGCCATTGTTCCCATCCATTATTGTTCACCATACATTTCACTCGGCTTTGCAATCAGAAAGGCTCCTGAATTCCAGGCCTCGTAGTGTCCTCGCGCTGTGACCTGGACAGTTATTTAACAGATCTAGGACTCAATTTTCTCCGTGTAAAATGGGGATAAAAATAGTTCCTACCTCTTATGCTTGCTCTAGTTATTAAATTAAACCACACATAAAATGTGTGTATAGATGAGACAGAAAATTATTACTATTTGACTATTATTATCACAGATGACAGATAGTGGAGATCGTATTGTTTAAAGTGTTTATACCATTTTCATAGCCCTTGTATACGCACACACACTTGCATACACACCCTTCCCTTAATTTCAGCAACTTCTATCATTTACATGTCTCTCTCCCCGCCCCCCTCTCCCCTCAGTAAGGTTTAGTGGATGGAACTTACCCCTGGAGCAGCTTGGCAGCTCAGGCACCCATGTATTGTTGGCCTGGCATTGCACAGTGTTGGACCCTTTCAGAACAAAGCCAGGCTGACATCTGAATCTCACCATGTCATTTAAAGAGAATAAACTCCTATTTCCTGGTGCTCTGATCCCATTTTCAACTTCTGGAATTGTGCATTTATTAGCAGAAATACACTGAGGAGGAGGGCTGCTCCAAACACCAAGCTGACCATCTTTGCTGATACAATATAGAAATTGTTCTCCCATGAGGTCAAACAGCTTTTCTCCGTTCGGCCCAGTGTGACATCGATAAGTTACCCGTGTTGCATATTGGAAAACATTTCTATTGCTGCTGTAGAAGTCTCCGTTGAATATGGCTGGGGGTGGCTCACAAGATATCCCTGGGATAAGAAAGAGTATGGTAAACAACAGCTCAATTTTTAATTTTTAAGATAATTGTATAGTGTTATTCTGGGTTCTGAGCAAAACTGAGGGGAAAGTACAGAGATTTCTCATTTACTCTCAGCCCCCACACATGCATAGCTCCCCCTTTATCAGTAGCCCCCACCAGAGTGGTATGTTTGTTACAATTGATGAACCTATATAGATACTTCATAATCACCCAAAGCCCATAGTTTACTTTCGGATCACTTCTGATGTTCTATATTCTGTGGGTTTGGACAAGTGTATAATGGTATGTATTGATCACTGTGGTATCATGCAGAAAACTTTTACTGTCCTAAAAATCCCCTGTGTTCTGCCTACTAATCCCACCCACCATTCCAACCTCTGGTGACCACAGTTTTTACCTTCTCTGTAGTTTTGCCTGTTCTATAATATTTTTTACAATGACTTTACTAAGAATTTAAATAACAAATAACAAATAATTAAATTATTTCCCAGAGTGTACCTAAATATTACTAAATAGCACTAAAAAACTATTATTTTCTTCTAATATTTGCTAATGATCAGACATGTTTACATAATTAAAATTTAGGTGTGTGATATTGATTCTATTTATAAGAATTTTTATTGTAAAAATATCCATGTATTATTATGGCTTACATATTTGTGACTTTAACTGGATAATCTATATGATTATTATCATAGATTGTTATTAACTTATTGCTGGGCTGTTGTTTTCTATTGGCTATTTAATAACATCTTTGCAGGTTAAATACACCACTTCTGGAACTACTCATTAAGAAGAGATTAAAATGGAGCATTTGAGACTTTGCTACCCAGCATATGTCATCAAAGGAACTCTTATAAAGAATAAATTTTAAAAAAAGAGGAGAGAGAGTGATGTCAGTATCTTGGTGGTGTGAGTTATTGCTTTTTTCTCTCTTCTGTTTTATTTACAACTCACCGGTCATACATAACCAAAGAAAAGTGCCTCTGTACAAGTGTACCAGAATACTCAGATTTCCACCCACCTGTCATTGAGAAGGTAAGTGGGTAGGACCTTGGAGTAGACAGTGGATCTATCTGGTTCAGTGAACCTACCACAAACTGACTAGTAATAATTGCAAAACAATGAACCTGGAAAGTGCAAAACACGGTGTAAGAAGAATGTGTGGAGGTCCAGCCAGCCTCAAGGGACAAGAAGACACTCCATTGAAGCAGGGTGCAGACGAATTGGGAGGCAGAAAAGAGGAGTAGCTCAAGGACTCTTAGGACAACACCACAGCATACTGGGCTTTCACTGGTGTTGACAGTAGTGACCTCCCTCATAGAGGAGTGGTAATGCAATAGTTGTATTTATCGAGAGGGTGTTTGGGTAAAGCAGCCAGTGACTGACTGCCCAGCTGTGCAGGTCTCATGGATTTCTGAGGGTAACTTCTGTCTCTGGGTGTAGGGCAAGGCAAGGAAAAGAGGCAGGCAAGACTGACAAAGGACATTGAAGGAACAGGCTCCCTGCTGTCACTTTGGAATTTCAGCAGAGGTCTGCCCTCCCACCTCTGGGATCCCCCTACTGGGCTGTGGGTAGTCACAAAGCCTCAAGTGTTAGCCACATTTTCCCACTCTGCCACCAGCTTTTTATACACCAAGTTTTTTTCCCTTTTTTCCCATGCTCCCCAGTGCAGCCCAACAGCCAGGTCAGGTAAAGAGAAATTAAAAACATGAATTATAGTGCCTCCATTTGGAAAAAAAAAGAATGATTTCTAATCATAGAATTGTACACCTGAAACCTATATAATTTTATTTACCAATGTTGCCACAATAAATTCAATTAAAAAGAGAAAATTATTTTAAAAAAGAAAAAAATTATATAAAATGAAAGGCATGAGAAATGAAATAATCATTGATTCAGGGATAATAAAATAATAAAAGAGTATTATGTCCTATTAGAAGATAATACTTTAAACATATTAGTATATGTGACTACACACACATTTATATGTATATATATATATATCCAATATTGACTCAGTTAACTGTTTATTGACCTAAAAATACCATAGAAGTGGAAACATTTTTCATCAGCAATAACCCCCTACAAAACGTGTTAGGCCTAGAAAAATTTTTATAGTAAACGAATAACATCTTGCTAATTTATACTTTTTCAGAGAATTTCAAAGTATGGGCAGGGGCATGAGAAATGAAATAATCATTGATTCAGGGGTAATAAAATAATAAAAGAGTATTATGTCCTACTAGAAGATAATACTTTAAAAATATTAGTATATGTGACTACACACACATTTATATGTATCCAATATTGACTCAGTTAACTGTTTCCTGACCTAAAAATACCATAGAAGTGGATACATTTTTCATCAGAGATAACCCCCTACAAAACGTGTTAGGCCTAGAAAAATTTTTATAGTAAACGAATAACATCTTGCTAATTTATACTTTTTCAGAGAATTTCAAAGTATGGGCAGGTTAAAGGAGGCACCTTGTATAACTTCTCATTCATTTCTTTGGATCTTTAAAGGCTAAAGTTAGTTTGTGTGTATGTGTGTGTGTGTGTGTGTGTGTGTGTGTGTGTGAATACTTGTGAATACAATGAATACATTCATTGTAGGAATTTTACAAAATATGGACAAACCAAAATAAGAAAATAATAACAGTCCAAAAATAAATATCCCTAATTTAATGCATATCATTTCAGATATGTATGTATGCACATGCTGAATTTATATTTTATAGAATATCTTACTTGTTAGCTGGATAACATTTAGGCCTGCCAGTAAATAGAGATAGTGTTTATTTCTGCTTGGATGAGGCATCTCAGTCTCTAATTTCATCTTACATCTTTCTTAAAATTTTATAATCATTTTTTAATAAGCCTTGTTTCTTCTATTAGCTATTTTCAAACCATGTTGAACATTTAGATTCTTAACATTTCCCACGATTATAAATATAATTGCATTGAATGTCTTTAGACCAAAATCATGGGCAAATTCCACGATTATGTTCTAGAAAATGGAATGACTAGGTCAAAGGGTATTGCATTATGGCTTTTGTATTTATTCCTCACTAGCCTTCCAGAAGTCTGTGCCCACTTTTACTGACATCAATTCTGCAGGTGATACTGATTCCTTAACAGCCTTAACACTCTATCCATTAGTATTCAGTCTTCCATGTTCATCAGTTTTGGAGGTTCACTTTACAACATCCCATTGAATACAGAGTCAGCTAATCAGGAACAAATACAAGTAGGGCTTGAGCATGGAGGAATTGGAAGGAGGAAGAAGGGGCCAGAGCCTTGTTAAGAAGTGTAATTTTTTTCTTTAGTTGTTCAAAGTAAGAACAATAAGGAAGAGAGTCATGTATTTCTTTCCTGGGGTTTTTGCGTGCTATTAAAAGGTGGCAGAGACAGGTTTAATTTTCTCTAATGTCTTTTGAATTTATTCAAAGGAGAATGATCTTTTCTCGGGAAAGAGATTACTATAAAAGTAGGAGAGTAGGACAGTTTGACCTGAGGTCAAGCCCACAGTTTCAGATAAATGACCTCTTAAAATTAAAAACAAAAAGCAAAACAGGAGAACCATGTAACAATTGACTCCGATTCTCAAGTATCTCAGAGACTAGTCTGTGCATGAAGGATGAAATTTCTTCTTTGCAACTACAGGGTCAAATCAGGGTCAATTGGAGGGAATTATGGGGGAAAATATTTCCACTCACTTTCACAGACAGGCGCCTCCTGATCCCAAGTGACGTTATTGCCTGAGAGGTTACAAGCAGCAGATGGGGAGCCAATGAGTCGATACCTAGAAACAAGATGAAAAATGGTTATATCCTACATGTTTCCCACTTAAATCACCACGAGAGAATAATGCCAAGAGAATTTCACAAATTATAGGACAAACTAACACATGGGCAACCGCAAAGAAGAAACCCCATTTCCACCTGCAAACCAGTTGTTTATTGCTAAGAACAAATATAAATGCCCACCCCTTTAATCCATCATTCCTAGTCCCTCAGAATTCAGTGCAAGAACTGTGTTATTCATAATGGAGCATTTTTGAAGTTATCTTTAGGGAAACTGAGGTGTGTTTTTTTTTAATCCATGTGTACTGTCAAGGCAATTAGGAACTCCTCAAAGGCAGAAAATGTCTTACTGAAAATATGTGCAGACTCTGGCCCTAGTCAAAGGACACTTAAGCTCTGGGTGCTCAAAAAATATTTGTTGATTGAAGGGAATGAATGATGGCTTTACCCTGAAGATTCAGTGAAGAGCCAGAAAAGGCAGTTAATTATTTTCATACTTTAATGGTGGAAAGCAGGGGTATTCATCCACTGTGCCATAAAACCATTCAAAAAAGGTCACAAACTTTGGGATATCACATCTTCTTTTTATTTATGATGTCCCTATACTGTTACTGCAAGAAATGTCACAAAGGATACTTGCTAAGATAGTCAAGTGTTCCAAAGAACAGCAGGACTAACCTAGATTAAGTGAAAGGTAAGGTGTCTAATGCAATGTCATGTAACAGTGGGATCGTTTCTGGACCAGCTAAGAACTTTGCCTCTTGATTATGTAAGATACGTGATCAGGGCAGTTAACCATTTGTAGCAGAAACTATAGGTATTTCCAGTATCCACTTTCACTTCCTTATTAGTAACAGAATCCTGTGTTTTTAACTGACCTATGCCCACTTCTAATTATCATTTTAAAGATTAAGTTAATTCATGTAAATCACTTGGTAGACTGCTTGGGACAACTGCACTCAATAATCATTCATTATTGCTTTTCTATAGATAATCTGCAATGGCTATTTAAATTTTCTCTTTGATCAAGATCCAAAACTTTGAATTTTAATTAATTTTTTGCTTATGAGTTTCTAGTGCTATTGTACTATACTCACACAGAAGATATCAAAACACATCTAGTATGGGAATTATTCTTTTTTTTCAAGAAATATATCTAATTGGTATATGTTGTGGATACTTGGTCATGTAAGAATACACTTCAGCAACTTGGCTAAATAAAGATATTTTATAGCACAATATTTTCCCTCAAAACACTAATTTCCACTATTTAGAGTGTGGAAAAAAAATTTGATGGCAATATACATTTTTTTCTGTTTATTTTAGCTCTGGAAAGTTGCATATTTTTTTTGATATCTGAATGTCATAAATTTTCTCCATTGAGGGTAAGGGCCTCTTATCATTTATTCTGCGTTTGTTCAGTAAGCCTTAGGATTCCAACAATCTAATCTCTTTCTTTCTGACCTGGGAAAGTATCTTCCATTCTGTGCTAATTGATACTTCACCAATTTTTGCTTTTTAAATTTTTTCTCATGTTTCAATGTGTGTGAAAATGTGTGTGAGTGCGTGTGTGCAATTTCCAGTGACCTCTTTCATTTATTCTGGAGAATTTAATTCAGTTTTCTCATGATCTATTTGGTTTCTTTTTCTTAGAATTCAATCTTTGATTATTGTTGCTTTTTTAGACTACTGTGTGTTTACTCATATATAAACTTTACTGATACCAGATTATTAAATCCTCATACTGTTTCAGAGGTTCTATGTTACAAACAGATATGAGAGATTTCTAGTATCCTGTTTTAGAGTTCATTCCCTTATTTATTAGAGTACACAGATTTGTAGAGGAATATTTTCTCTGATTTCTGGAAGAAATGTCTCTTTTATTTTCAATTGCTCTATCTTCCTTTCCTTGTATTCATGGTGTTTTGTTTTGCTCATGAATGAAAGGGCTCTAGGCTTATTCACAATGGGAGGTGAGAAAGAACTGGTCAGGAGATTGTATGGAAATGTGTTAAAATCTCCAGGGTGAGCAGGCATGAATGTGGATTTATCCTAGTTTAAAATTGCTGGGTCATATGTACAATACATAGATTCTACTTGAGTAGGACAGGGTGGGACTGATCACCAAAGGCAGTTTATGCAGAAAGAGGTGATATATTTAGATACCTTGTTTCCTCTAAATTTATTGTGGCAACTAAAAATTAATATACTTTCTTTAATTGCTCTAAGTTGAGGCAACGGCTTCTAGCTCAGTTACTTGCCCAAAGAAAATTCAAGAGCAAAAATTCCATTAGTGTCCCTATACTGTGTGCATTTGAATGCTTATGTTTCCCAGAACTGATATTATATATGATTTGCCCTCCCACCCCCCTTTTTAGGGTCCTCCAACTCAGCTACAGTACTCACTGATCTCAGTTAAGGATGTCTGCATGGTTCAACTAGAATTTATCCTTCTATGGATTTGGCAGGCTGGTCCTTTTTGTCGAGTGGCTATCTTACCAGGTTTCACGTGGGCTACCTTTGGCAAGAGCATGGTGCCCTCCCTGGTTCATCATGCAGATAGAGATTCATCTCTTTTTTAAGATTCCTTTGGTCATGTGCCCATGTTCAAGCTACCATCTCTGTTTAGAACTCCCATTGCTTACTTTTTAAAGTACAGGGGGCAGTAGTCTAGTTTGCCTCTCTGAGATTGGGACAGAGATTGACACTGCTGTTCTGGAACTCAAATTCCAAAGAGAGTGCTCCCAACTCACCCTTCATTACAGGAATAATTCACTGTTGATCCAAAGTAACTATCTGGGTTTATTTGCACCATGCCATTGAAAGGTTTTGGTGGAGATCCACATGATTTTCCTAGGAGAAAGCAGCAGAATTTGGGACTAGGTGTAGAGTTAAATTTACATTTGATTTAAGATTCAGACTGGAGTGTAGCACGCTTAGCCTATATATTTGTGATTTTTTCCCCCCATAGAATTACCACTTTGAGGATACTCACCATATGACCTTAGAATCAAGTAGCTACAGGGCACCCCTTTTAAAGGACTCTCTTGCATCTCTCAATAAAAACCATTCATGGCTAAAGAATGGTTTTCTCATCCCACCAACCTAAATCAAAGGCTTCATAATTTGAGATTTTCCTCCATCTTAGTTAGTTAAGCACAGTTCACTGCGACCCACATAATTTTCTTGGGTGTTCCTTTTTCATTCATTCATACCATTGAAGGTACCCTCCAGTGAACGGAAAGCTTCCCTACAATTCCCTTAGTGTGAGTCTTTCCCAGGAAATGAGTATCTGGTCAAGCTGCAGAATGCCAGGCAATAAAAAGGGATGACTTACAAGTCTACCCTCCATTGAAATACCTTAGATATCTCACCTTCAAAATCAAAACAAGTTAAGTCAGGTCCCATAGATGCTTTCACATACAGAACATAGTTCCCAGGATAGGGTTACTCACGTCTACAGGCATCTTCCACATGTGACCAAACCAAATTTCCTAAGCAGGTGATAGAGAACATATTCTCAAAATACCCAGGGGAGCATTTGTAGCTCAAAGATGTCCCCACTGGAAACTCAGACTCATCAGTTAGGGTTGTAGGCTTGGCAAACGGAAATGGGTCTGGAGCTTTACAGTAACCTGGAGATTAAAGCCACAGGAATATCAAGTGAGCAATGAGACTTCCGCTCCACCCTTCTTCCTCTCCCATTAAGTTGATATATGAGCACATAAACAGACTTATCATAATGGCAAGTATTTTCTTCTTCTGGAAGTTACCTTAGGATGGTGCCTTCCAACAACATCGACTCATCAAAAATTTTTGCCACTTAAAGACTATTTACCTTTCTGAACTTTCTCCTCTTATTTCACCGAAGCAAGACATTTAGCTAATGGTTTCACATGTCAGACCTCCTATCAGAATGCCTAGAGTTAACCAAGTTAATTCATATCCTCATTTATTGGTGTTAATGTACCCTTGTATAGCAAGACATATTTTACCATCTCTTTCCATTTATTCCTCCCTGCCTCTTTCCCAGGATGCTCATCAGAAGCTGCCCCTCTGGCACTAAAGAGAAGTCACCACTATTAGTGGGTTGAATGATGTTTTCCCCAAAGATACATCCACCCAGACTCTCAGAATGGGAACTCATTTGAAATAGGGGTATTTTCAGATATAATTAAGGTAATGATAGTGAAATGAGATTATTCTATGTTAACAGGATGGTCCTAAATTCAATGACTGGTGCTGTACAGAGAAAAGAAAAGAAAGGAAGATTGGAGACACAGAGACAGAGCAGAATAGGCCATGTGAAGACAGAGGCAGGGATGAGAGTGATGAGCCCACAAACCAGAAGCCACGAGAAGCTGGAAGAAGCAAAGAAGGATTCTCCTCTAGAGAGAAGAGATTGGAAGGATTGGGGCCCTGCCAACACCTGGATTTCAGACTTCTAGCCCCATTATCTAGGAAAGAATAACTTTTTATTATTTTAAGCCACCTAGTTTGTGGTAGTTTGTTATGGCAGCCCTAGGAAACAAAGGACTATTCTTCTCATTCTGATGCTAAACCAGACAGTTAAAGACCAGGAGAAATAGATTAAGCCATTCAGCAGCATCCTGGCAGAAGCTATGTCTTCTTTATGGGAGGGTATATTGTGTGCTGCACGTTAGAGTCTGAACTCAATCGTCTCTTCTTTGGAGGAGACTGCTTCTGTTTGCCAGTTCAATGGGCCTGGCCTAGGCATCTGCATTTAAAGAAATACCATTCAATTCAGATAGAGAACACCCAATTGGAGGGTGAGAGAGATCAAAGAAAGGCTAAATGCTTTTCATCACGGGGCCTTTTCTCATTGGATTGCTCTTCTCTCAGGGCTTCCCTGCAGGGGAAGTGGTATTCCAAAGCTGGCCCTGCATGGAGTCTACTCCAGGTTTCATTCTTAGAAAGGCCTCAAGTCAGGCCTCAAGTACCAGGCCATCTTCTCTAGTCCTTAGAAATAGTCCCTTCCTTTTTGTACTATTTTCCTTGAGCTGATCTTTTCTTGCTTCTTCTCACTCCCAGAAGGAACGGAAGAGTTCAAGGAAAGATTAAGATGGACCCCTAGGCAAGCTGACAAATGGGTGAACTTTGAATTGAGGTCTTTAGATACAAAGGTATAGTGAGTTTATTTTGTTACTTAACCTATTTAGCATAAGACTAGTGAAACCTTAGCTAAATAATATCTATATTGCCAGTTTTATCCTTTGCATGCCCATGACCTTGTAAAGGATAGCTTTATCAGTTATGCTGATATTGGTTAGTGTGCATAGGCCAGTGGTCGGCAAACTCATTAGTCAACAGAGCCAAATATCAACAGTACAATGATTGAAATTTCTTTTGAGAGCCAAATTTTTTAAACTTAAACTATATAGGTAGGTACACTGTTATTAACTTAATTAGGGTACTCCTAAGGCTTAGGAAGAGCCGCACTCAAGGGGCCAAAGAGCTGCATGTGGCTCGCGAGCCGCAGTTTGCCAACCGCTGGCATAGGCAATTGTTTTCCTGTCCTCTCCAATGAATATATCTTTCCTCCTGATTTACACGGGTGCTTACTGTCTTCTCTCCACCCTTTCCCTTTCTCCTCTTCCCCTCCTCTCCTCACCACTCAACCGGCAAGATGAGTTACTAGCACCTTCCCTATTCAGTCATAGCTTGGCACTGCTGGAACCATCTGTTTCAGCAATGGCATGTAATTTGACACTTCCACGTATGACAGTTAAACTCATAAACAAACACTCTAATCTTATGATAGAAATATAAAAGTTCTGGTACAGATATTCTGAACCCACTTAGGGTATACACAGGTGGGTACTGACCAGCAGGACCAGAAAGTTCACAGCGAGGGGCAGGGCCGCTCCAGATCCCGTGCCCTTGACCGTCACTTCTGCAGCGGATGGTGCGCTCCCCAATGAGACTGAAGGTCATCCCTCTGTCTGGGTGGGAGTCACATGTATAAGATATTTCTGTTCCATAGGGAATGACTCTCAGAGAAGTTCCTGTGTGGTTCCCATTAAGGATAGCAGGGGGATCTGGACAAAAGATTTCTAGAAAGAAGACAAGAGCCATAAGTTATATTATAATGTTTACATTTTAATCTGACTTGATTCTACCGTTATGATGCTATGACTGCATTGCCAATTAAAGAACAATCAAGCCCTTAGGGAGCATATAGACTGTAAAATAAATATATTATCAGGAGGACTAATTATCAAATCTTCTGCCGAGATGCAGCTAAATGACAAGACACTTAAACCAATGTTTATTACAGAAGTCCAAAAGGGGATTAGAACCCTGAACTCTTCAGAGAGTTAAGACTTCTGTAAAATTGAGAGCTTATTCATTTAAAGTAAAAAAAAATCTTAATCACCTTAACAAGAAAATCACCAATTTAATAAAAAAAAATCATCCATTAATTTAACAAGCAAGTTTTTGAGCACTTACTATATATCAAGTACCATTTTAAGCAAAAAATAGACACCAAGGATTTTCATCCTAAAGAAATCTTTCAAAATATATTACATATTTACTACCTCTCTGTCAGTGATTTAATCTTTTTTGATGACTTGAGGCTGTTATTCTAAAAAACAAAATGAATGGGACAGTAATGTCACAATGAAATGCAACATCCTCCTTACTCCTGTGCATGCGCCAGATGGCTCAGAAATGATAGGACTTTTGAGATACTCACTAGTTTTTACAGATTTTATTTCTTTTGAGTATAACTATCTGGAGAAACTCCTTTCCCCTTCTGATTTGATCAGTATTTGGGAAGAGGGTACTGCAACTTGATAGGATCATGGATAAACTAATCCCATCGGGCCAGTGTGGCTCAGGGGTTGAGCATTGACCAATGAATCAGGAGGTCACAGCTTGATTTCCAGTAAGAGTTCATGCCAGGCTTATGGGCTCCATCCCCAGTAGGGGGTGTGCAGGAGGCAGCCTATCAGTGATTCTCTTTCATCATGATGTTTCTATCTCTCCCACCCTCTCTTTAAAATCAGTAAAAACATATTTGTTTAAAAAAACTAATCTCAGAGTAGAATAGCTTGATCAATATTTACACGTTAGTAAGCAATTTTAAGTATATCTTTGGGTTGATGAGAATATTTTTTTTCTTTATTTTTTTTTCATGCTTCTTAACTATACTTTCAGAAAGTTAAGATTTTCTAATAGGTAACTTCCAAATATGAAAGAGCTAATTATCAAGATTCATTATATAAATCAGTACAAGAAGTCCAATTTTAAAGCAGGGCACTCACATGAAAAATTCTATTGTAAACATGTATTTTTCAATAGTTATGATCAGAAGATGAAGCAATATTCTGTTTGATTTAGTGAAGAAATAAATGGACAGACTGAATATATTGGTAGTGTTTCTGTATTTAACACACTATTATTTCTGTCATCTTAAAAACAAACAAAAAATAACTTTCTTAATTCCATTTCCGTCTGCAGTTCCATTGCTGTACTCCTTTACGTTAGAGCTCCTTTAAGATGTTGCCTGTGACCTTTCGTTCCTCCCCTTCCTTCTTCCTTGAACGCATTCCAATCAAGCATATGCTCCCACAACTCTACTAAAACTGCGTTTTTAAGGTCACCCATTACCTCCAAGTCACTCAACCTGTGCATAATTTTCTGTCCTCATCTTATTTGACCTCTCTGTAGAATTTGAAAGAGTTGCTTGGTCTCATCTTCTTAAATTAATCTCTCCACTGGGCTTCCAAAGATACCCTCATCCTCCTGGTTTTTCTCTTAATGCACCGGCTGCCTCTTCATCTCTTCTACTGAGTCCTCAGAGTCCTGAGTTCTCATGTTGGATTTACGAGGCATGGCCCATGCACCTGCTCTATGGACACATTCCCTCACTAGGTGACCTCATTTCGTCTCTATTTTAATCTCTATGTGTAAACCATCAGCAAATTCTGTCATTTCTACCTTCCGAATGCATCCAGAATTTGAGCACTTCTTATCACCTCTCCAACTGCTATTCTGGGCTAACGTTTCTGATTAGATTTTTACAGTAGCTTCCTAGCTTGTACTCTCAGATGTTCTTAACTACACCTGACATTTTGGCCCCTCAGCTGTTCACTCTACACCAGCTACATAAGCTTCCAAGAAAATGTTAGTACAGGCTTTTTAAAGGAAATTCCAAGAAAACATCTGCCTTGGGCCTTTCTTTGCATTTCCTGTTCCATCTGAATGGAAGGTTCTTCCTCTATGTAATTCACATAGGCATCAACTAATTGCTTCCAGTGCTTAATTGTTACTTCCTCATTAAGGATTTCCTTAATTACCTTATTTAAAATGGAAACTTTATTCTTTTTTCCTCTGGCATTCCTTATTCCCATTCCCATAACTATTCTATTCATTACCCTTTTTTCCCCTTTAATGACACTTAGTATTATTTGAACTTATTTATCCATGTGTTTCCTTGTCTACTTGTTATTTTTTAAAATCTTTCTTCCCATCCAAGAATATAAATAGCATGGGGGCAAGGACCTAGTCTATCTTGTTTGTAGGCATACTCCTGGTGTCTAGAAGACTGGCACATAGGAAGGGCTAAAAAGTAATATATGGATGAATAGGTGATCTAGAAAAGGATAGAAAAGCTGAAATGTGACTATCACTTTTGCCAGGAAAAAAGAGAAAATTTGACAAAACTCCAGGGCACAAACTTCTCTCCATCTACAAAGCATTTCTCCCCATTTATATATAGCACATAGTATGCTACGAAATATTTTGGATAGTACCCAAAACACATGATGTTCAGGTTTATTTCCCCCAAAAAGCATTCTTTTTAACTAACCCACAAAGAAATATTTCTATCAAAAATGAAGGTAAACAGAGAAGCAGACACTTGATAATCTCATGGGGCAAAAACTCGGTAAGAAAATGAAAAGAAGAAAAAGGAGAAATATTCAGACCTGAACACATATTCCTTCTACTCACGTTCGCACACAGGAGCACTGTTATTCCAAAGGCTCTTCGTTCCAACCCTGACACAGTGACTAGAAGAACTTCCCTGTAAATGAAACCTAAGGGACAAAAGCAGTAGTGACTGGGTGAGCGTACCCCTTCTCTCTTCCCTTCACGGTTAGATCTCAGCTTCTCCCTTTCTGCTAAAAGACAATTTAATTCCTCAGTTAAATCCCTGGTGAAAAAGCTCAGCTCATTTGGTTTCTTGGGAGAAAGGCTCAGAAAGCAAAACATTTTGAAAAATGGTAGCTTCCACTTACTGAGTAAAAGTGTTGTACCAAAGAAGGAATAAAAAACAGGCAAAACCCTTAATACTGATCGATCCCCAGTGAGGGACTTTCCGGAGGCAGCCAATCCATGATTCTCTCCCATCATGGATGTTTCTCTCTCTCTATCCCTCTCCCTTCCTCTCTGAAGTCAATAAAAATATATATTTAAAAAAACATAGGCAGGCATTTTCTTGACCTGATCCCAGGGCTCCAGGAGGTCATTGTTCCCTGACTGCTCTCTGATAGCACCCTTTGAGTCATCAGGAGGAACTGTTTCCTCTAATACGAAATATAGCATTTTCTTTTCTTAATGGACCAGGAGGAAAACAGCTCCTGAGGTTGGTAAGTCATAGAATATGAGGGAAGATATCCGAGACTGTACTTTTTGCCAATACACTTGGAATATTCCTAAATGAGGCTTATGGCCTATCTGGATTATTGAAGAGCAGAACCAAAATAACTAGAAAAAAAAAAACTCTGAAGTCAATAAAAATATATATTTAAAAAAACATAGGCAGGCATTTTCTTGACCTGATCCCAGGCCTCCAGGAGGTCATTGTTCCCTGACTGCTCTCTGATAGCACCCTTTGAGTCATCAGGAGGAACTGTTTCCTCTAATACGAAATGTAGCATTTTCTTTTCTTAACGGACCAGAAGGAAAACAGCTCTTGACGCAGGTTGGCAAGTCATAGAACATGAATCAATGCCTGTCAAGGAACCCTGGGACTTGTTAAGCCCGATAATGAATGTCCCACTGTTGAGAGGGTCAATATCAGCTCACACTCACCCCTCATCACAAATGAAGGACACTTTAAATACACTTGGAATATTCCTAAATGAGGCTTATGACCTATCTGGATTATTGAAGGGCAGAGCCAAAATAACTAGGAAAAAAAAAAGAAGAAGAAGAAGAAGAAGAAGAAAAGAGGACAGGATTCCTTGCAGTGGTTCTCAACCTATGGGTCGTGACCCTTTCACAGGGGTCGCCTAAGACCATCAGAAAACACATATATAATTACATATTGTTTTTGTGATTAATCACTATGCTTTAATCATGTTCAATTTGTAACAATGACATTGGGGGTCACCACAACATGAGAAACTGTACTAAAGGGCCGCGGCATTAGGAAGGTTGAGAACCACTGTGAGCATAATTACCCTAAAACATCTGGTTTATTTTCAGAACATTGGTCTCCTGAACTGCCGCCAGATCTTCACTGAATGACTGTTACTCAATGCCTGTCAAGGAACCCTGGGACTTGTTAACCCCAATAATGAATGTCCCTGTTGAGGAGGGTCAATATCAGGTCACACTCACCCCTCATCACAAACGAAGGATACTTTTGCTCCAAGCTCAAAGGTAAGTGGAGAGAGCACACGGCCATTAGGAAGTCGGTCCCGGAAGGCAGCACATGATTTCACTACAGAAAAAGAAATGAGAAGTAAGACCGCCATGTGAGGTGCAAAGACATTCATCTGCAGAAAGGATGAGAGTGAGTGGAGGCACCTGCTCATGTGGGGGCGGCCGGGCTCCAGTCCCCCTGGGGCGTACAGCGCATCTTAACTCATCCAAGGAGTCAGAAACTCATAAGGAGAGGGGTTCCGGTCTAACAAAGGGCCTGACACAGGTGCATGCTAACAAATCCTGGCACGTGATTTGGACGATTTCTTTAACCTCTGAAAGACCAAGCTAACTTCTTTATCAGATGGGTAAGAGAATAGCACTATTTCTAAGTGGGATTGTACAGAGTCGATGAGATAAAGCACAGAGAGTGCTCATTACACAGCTGACCAGAAGGCTCACATCCTTTTTCAGTCTGAGAGCTGGTGCTTTGCTCTGCGAATTACTCAGTAGGAGCATCCCCAATGCCCCTTCCCTGATGGATTAGGCTCTTGCTCTCCAGGATGAAGGCACACTCACTGCAGTGAGGGCACCCACACACCTTCTTCCTTTCATGCTTCATGCTTCACCCCTAGAAACTTTACTCACACTGCTCAGCCCACATCTCCCTCCCAGAACAAACACTAATCCGGGGGCCCTCCCACAGCTCCTGTCACCTGCAGGCCCCCTCAAAGCCTCAGTCAGACTCACCCGGGGAGCAGCTGGGCAGCTCGGGCTCCCATCTGTTTTGGGCCTGGCAGCGCACACTGGAGGGGCCTTTCATGACAAAGCCAGGCTGACACCTAAACCTCACGATGTCATTTAAGGAGAACAAGCTTCTGTTCTCAGACTCCCTTATTCCATTTTCAACGTGCGGAGGCGTGCACTTATTAGGTACGATGCACTGAGGGGCAGGGCCGCTCCAGACGCCCACTTGATCTTTGCTGGTGCAATATATTGACTTCTCGCCCACGAGTTCAAACTTTTCCCTTCTGGTTCCAGGATGGCAGTAATAGGTCACCACTATTCCGTATGGAAAATAGTCTCTGCTGTTGCTAACGAAATCTCCGTTGGCGATGGTTGGTGGTGGCTTACAATGAATACCTGG